ACCATTGCAGAAGACTCGTCAGCTTGCCAGTTTACAGAGTCCAATCTTCTCGCTAATGCCTCTTGTTGCCTCGATGATGTTTTGAGCTCTTCGCACTACAGATCTAGCCTTGCTTCCTTGGAAGCCGGCCTAGTTGTTGCCTTGTCACCTTCGCCTGTCAAGCCGAGTGAACAACCGGCTGAGCTTGCAGGGCTGTTAACGACAGTCGACGATTCTAGCATCCCCGAAGTTGCCTCAGCCGCAGTGCCTGACATTTCTGGCTCTGATGATGCTGGACCTTCACTTCCTCCGCTTCAACCGCCCCAGTCGCCTGATATTCCGCCTAGAGTTGACGGTGGCAGGCAGAATAGCTCAAATGGTGTCTGTGGCCAACAGAACGCTGGCTCGAGGCCTGCATCTGGAGAGGCCTCGGGCTTTTCTGGAGCCCGAGGGACAATAGGGTCTAATCGACACACTCCGGGCCGTCAGGTGTCAGGAGGTTCCAGAAAATTATCCGGATCCTTTGCAGCAGCCGCTTCCGGAGGCGGAAAGCGCAAGGTACTTGTGCTTTTTTGCATCTGTCCATTCCCACTTCTAATTTCTTTATCTTCTACTTGTAGTTTATTCCATAAAACCTTTGGTACGTACTCAATACTTTTTGAATTCATTAAGTTTGGATTGTTTTGGTTTTATAATCACTTTTCATGACTGACCTCATCGATCCTAAGATTTCCAAACCCTCAAAGGGAAAAAAAATAGTACGGATATCTGTTAATGAGACAAACCTTTAAGAATAGCAGGGATTTTACCTTATTTCCGCAACCTTGTCAGGGCGGCCTCGATGAACGTAGCTTGTCAGTAGTCCTCTGCTATAGTAGTTATGATAATTTCTAGCGTTGGATCATGGACTGAGAATATACCTCGTCCACGTTCAGACGCTATAAGTTACCATGACTACTATGGCAGAGGATTCCGGATAAAATGCGTTCATCAACTTCATCTTGTTAACAAGATCAAATTGTTAAGATAAGGTCAAACCAATCCTATTCAGCGAAAGGAGTCCACGATCAAAACAGAGTTCGCACCATTTTGGTCTTTATATCCTAAAGTAGACTTTTAATAGAGTACCTTCAGTCAACTGCATATGGTTCAAGCAGGCGAAAAAGGCAATAATTAACTTTTATGTTTTCATGACGCACAATTTCAAATGGCATCTCATAAATAGATAGCGAATATATTCATGATTTATTAATGAGCATTGATTCTGTTTCAAAATTCACGGCACTACACGATAATTGTGGATCATCACAATTATCGGATTTGTGATAGTTACTAGGCTATCAGGACTATATATATATGTGTGTGTGTGTGTGTGTATAATTATGTTTTCTCTTAATTTAATCATTTTGACTTGCTTCAAGTAACCTTTCGTTCTTCACGCGATACATTTCTTTTCCCGACCTTCACACCATTCTCCTACATTCATTGGAATCCCTACGTCTGGCTTCCTTTGGAACTGCTTTATTTATTCACTTAAAAATTTAGTAAAATATTCCTCCTGTTCTCATATAATCGGCCCAATTTCACCGTGAGTTTTCACTTACCTCGGCTAGGCATGTGCGCATGGTTTAATATAAACCATTGTTAGGTTGGTCATGAGCCACTCCCTCACCAACAGAAACGCACACACACATTTAACCTAAGTATTAGGAACTGAAGCTAGGTCACCAGCCTCTCCAGCCGCACTTAAATCGATTTCAAGTAGACATATAGCTTGAAAATAGCACCCCTAATGGAAAGCTATTCAATCGTTTGTGATGCCTTATACCTAAGTTTTTAAGCGACCCACCTTTTCAACTTTTTGAAGCTGATTCTTGGTTGACTCCTCCCATTTAACCGCCTTGGTTTCCATTAGCCTCTCTAGATTCTCCTCCTGGCGATGCCTCTTCATATTGTTCAAGTGATTTACATGATCCAGACTTATCCTGCTGGCTGCTTTTTCTAAATTCCTTTT